AGATGTGTGGACACAATTATTATCTTGTGTATTAACAACGAGGATATCGTTCTACACGGAAAAAGGAGAGTGTGTTAAATACTTGTTGGAGGACAACCATATTGTACTATAGTGAGTTCGTAAGCATACGTGCACGCATATTTTCGGTTCTCTATTTTTTAAGACAAAATGTCAGGACAAATATAATATAATATAATATACAGAGTGTCCCAAAAATGTCTTGCAATCCGAAAGTAGCGGGTTCCTCGGGTCATTCGAAGCAACTTTCTCCTCTACAAAAATTTTCCCCGAAGCACCGTTAACGAGTTATTAACGAAAAACAGTGACCAATGAGAGGCGAGCTCGGCTGGCGCGAGACGACCGAGCCAATGAGCGGAACTGGGCTTCGCGCGCTGGTTGGCTGGGCCGCCTCGCCTCAGCCGCACTCGATTCTTATTGGTTACTGTTTTTCGTTAATAACTCGATAATGGTGCCTCGAAGAAAGTTTTTGTAAAGGAAGAAGCTGCTTCGAATGATCTGAGGAACTCGCCATTTCCGGATTGCGAGACATTTTTGGAATACTCTGTATATATATAACCTCATGTAATATTGTCTCAAGTCGAAAATGGGAGAAAATGTGCAAAAAAAATTAATGATTCAGAACGTGTCCATTTATTTAATATTTCAGAAATACGTGTCGCCTATTTTTACCGTGGCTTGGAATTGAATTAATATTGAAATTGAATTATAATTGCTCTATAATTTTTTGATTAAGCAATCGTTGTATGTCACGAAATTAACAGAGAATAGTTTTAAATCGTATAAACCTTATTAAATTCGTAACTGTGTTTCAATTTCTATGACAAACAGCTTCTTCTTAAGAGAACAAATAATGACTAAATGAAAAAGCTTTTACTTCGCTGATTTCGTGAAGCGACTAAATTCCACATTCGTTTTGCAACGAAAATTGTTGAAACGCCGCTAAATGTTGCTCGCAGAAAAATTTGTAAACATGATACGACATGCCACAGAAACATAACCCGTTTTAACATAAGCAGACCCTTGTTTTTGACCATATTTTTCAGGCTGGAAATTTTTCGCGATTCGAAATGGACTGCGGGAAAGTTTGTACCTTAATTAAAAGTCAACTTCGATGTAATTTCAGCCGCAAAATTCTAATGTAACAATTTCCCTGTGGAGTGCACAAAAGTCAATTACAAAGTTTAATTACGGAGTGATAGTAATATGCAGCATTCGAGACGAAGTTGCGTTTACTGCATACACAGTATTCTACTCGCCATGGGTTAGTAATTATTCCATTATTTAGGGATTTTGTCTAAGTTATCTGTCCAAAATTACTAGATCCACGTGACAAATTCCACTCTACTCTATGAAAACAATTAACAAACGAACACAGTGTGCTATTGTCGAATATGTACAATAATTTATTACCGAAATTCAAAACGAAAACACACGTATTAATTTCAAATTGATTGCTGGGACGTGTTGGTCTCATTTGCAATGAAGTTGCTAATAGAGCTACAAAAGAAGCTTCTAATCTAACATCCTTGGATGACGATTGTAATATTAGGTCAAAAGTCTATTATAATATCTGCTTAAAAGTCTATAATATCAGTTTAAAAGTCTATTATAATATCTGCTTAAAAGTCTATAATATCAGTTTAAAAGTCTATTATAATATCTGCTTAAAAGTCTATTATAAATTCATGTCTATTATAAGTCTATTATAAATACCAATTGATGATGAGGGCACCCGATCCAAACTTCACAATATAAAAGCTTACCAAATAAAAGTTTATGAAATCTTAAAGGACTGCCTAATTTCCAGAAATATCAAGTCACAATTACCGGTATTTGAATAGGATACTCAAGACTCATCCGCGAGTTTCTGACAGCTAGACACAGTCCTCCTGAATGCATTTTAGGTGACGAGCTCATTAGTGCCCATCATACATTACTTGAATCTTGAACCCACTTTTTTAATTCCATTGATCTACATGACCCGTTACAGTTTACTGACACAGTTAGTCACGTCAATGTGAATGTTAATTATGTTCTAAAATAGAAGCCACATATTAGTTATGGTCTAGTTAATTGTAAGCCAATGTGGCCGCTAATGACCTAGCAGTTAATACGATCACGATAAAATAAATGAACTTACGATAATAATAATAATATTCGGCGCTCTATACATGTATCCAAAGCATTAAATATAACCACTAGACTACAGATCTTTATTTAAGTATAAAGTATAAAAATCAAAATAGAAAGAATCAAATAAAAATTGTCTACCCCAATTCGAACAAACTAAAGTAATATTGTAATTTGTTTTCTTTCTTAGTATGTCTAATTGGTTGCAAATAATGTATCTCAGCATTCTCAAAGTATTATAGTTTTTCCACTGTTCCGTGTTCGATCTAAACCTTTTTCACATAAATGCATCAAAAATCCGCCGTCTAATAATCGCTAACTTGCGAACAAAATAATTCGTTAAAATTTAACTCGACGAAATCCGTCGAAAGGGGGATTCTTAAAAATCCTGATAAAACATACGGAGCATAAAAAATCCGTGATCTCACGAATCGATCCCCATGGATCGCCACTGATACTTCCAGTACTCCGCGTTCCGCGGCGCGACGATGCGATCCACCGAAATGTGGGAGAAACAATTTATTTGATCGGCGCGGTTCGAGCGTCAAAGGGTTAATTTCTAGCAATTAAATAGGAACGATCTATAAATTCCGGAGCGTCATCGCTGTTCGAACGATCGAGACTGGATCCCGAACGGAACGGAAGCGATGGCGGTTCCTGGCCGGGTCGACAGTCCCGATGAGGAGGGAAGAGGAGAGGAGAGGAGAGAGGAGCGAGACGTGCCCGGCATCGCAACTGCATGCCGGGCGCGCGCGACGCGCGATTTGCAATCGTTGCACGGTGCATCGTTGCACCAGCCGCGTCACGTCGTCGATCGGCCACGACGACACGCCGCACGATGGGGAACCGTGGGAAGGGAGCAATTAGCAATTAAAATCAGGGGTTCGGCGATTGATCGGTCTAGCATGATACCAGCCTGTCCCACGGGCCAATCGACTCTTGGATTATAATTACGGGCGCTAATTGCGCGGCACCTGCCACCCGCCTCTCTTTCCTGCGATCCATGTTCCCACCCTCTCTCTCTCTCTCTCTCTCTCGCTCTTTTCCCCATCGGCAAGCTACCACGCGATTAGTACGCGGAAACAGGGTTAAAATGTTCTGAGAATTTCATTTCCGGAGGCGGTGTGTTCGACTCGTGTCTCTATTTCCTAATAAATCGATCAGCGGGCCAATAATTCCCCCCTCCCCACCGGAGAGGTCCCGTACAGCGAAAACAAGCACGATTTTCGAGCGGACGTGCACACAGAATTCACTATCGCGCCCGGATACGTTCATCCGGATGCAGCGACCCTTTCTTTTTTTTCTCGTATTTCATCCCGGCGCGCCCGGCAGCGCGCGGACCTGTCGCCGATCGAAAGTCTCGGTTTTCATTCGGAATCTCGATTGAAAAATTTCGAGAACGTCGCCCGACTTCTACGACTTACAAGATTGGGGCTCCGCGAGAACTTCGAACTTCGGGGCTGTCCGATTAATGAAACGGTTTCAACTCTGGGACAGTTCGAGCTATGAAATCGTTCGATCCTTGAATTACAGATCGCGACGCTCCTCTTGTCGATCTCGAATTTCTTGGATTCGTGTGCGATCGAACTTTGCTCCTCGTCTTAAAAACCTCTCGATGCGGATTCGAAGCAATTTGATACGTTAAACGATTCACAAAAACGTGCAGAAACTCTAATGAAATTGACAAGTATTAAAAAAGTAGCTCAGTGATTCTCGGAAGCATTAAATTAGATTTTTGCACTGGAAGTTATTTTGTCACCAAAGCTAAGATAGTTCTTCTACTTTTGATTGTTTACATTTTGTACATATAATAACGAATACATTCGATTGTGCAACATTTTACGCTTTGAACGATTCCTTAAATATCGATTTTACAATGTTATAGTTATTTAATTAATCGAACTTAAATTAAACAGTTAAAATTTGCCATAGTAGCTACTAGTTTAACCCTTTCCACTCGAAGCTATTTCAATTTAAAGATTAAGATATTTCTTCCAATGTATGGTATTTTGATTTTGTATCATATTTTGTATTGTAAAAATTACTCTAATAAATGTTATAGCAATTTTCATTGGTGCCGCAGAGTGGCCATTCGAGGACGAAGTGTTAACTCCCTTGTATTCTAACAATCCTAATAATTAGACTGCGGATATTTATGCGAATTTTCATACGTTGTTTTATAAAAATGCTACCTTCTCAATTTACAAATTTTCTGCATTTAAAAATCCGCACATGTCATAAATCCATAAGAATCCGCAATCTACTAGTAACATTCAATTTGTTAGAGTATATAGCAATAAAAATGAATCTATTTCAAAATTAGTGTCACCCATACGTGACCGACTGATGCAAAAATTGTTCGAAAGAATGATGCAGCAATTTTTATTGATGTCTCAGAGTCGCCATTCGAGTGCAAAGATTTCGGAAATCAACGGTCACGTACAGGAAATTAATATTTATAAAACCGACGCGTTGGTGAAGCTTAAATATCAAAACTATAACTTCGCAGCCCGCGTTCTGGCAAATTGATGGCGGCAATATCCGATTTTGTTGTTGCGCAGAAAACGGAAAGAACGCCGCCGGGATGGTTCATGGAATTCTAATAAACGTTCGACCGCTATGGGTAACGCGAGAACGAGGTTCTGGGACAGCTGGATCGTCGGCGGGACCATGAACGCGTAACGAGTATACGTGATTCTCTATCCCATTTTCGCCCGTTTCCCTCCAGCCCCCTTTCCCAACCCGTCCACCAATAGCCTCTACGAGCGGCCAATACCGGCGCAGAGATGATAAAGCCGAAGCCGGCATGAAATATCGGGCCACGGAAATATATTTGTAACCGAACTCACGTCGTTTTGAGCGAAGGTTGGCGTAATTGGCCCGTCGCTGGCTTCCCATTTGTTGGCGATGAGGATCGTCTCCGCCGTTTTCTGCTGCACTGATTTCGACTCGTCGAGCAACGTCAGCTGGTAAAACTCCTGGATATCTGCAACAGCCCGGAAAACGGGGGAGTCATTAATATGGGTCGGCAGGTTGCCTCTTGACGCGGCTGAAATATTGTCCTGTCTCGGATACTTCCTATCACCTAATGAAAATTTTGATCGACTCGATGCATTCTACGTGAACGATTGTCTGTCGGCTATTATTTCTGGAAATCTTGTGGACAGATGGTTATCAAAGCGACCTTCTCTGGCACTGCCGCTCCGACAACCTCGAATATTTCACAAAATTAAGGGCTACATTTAATCAAAATATTTTATGAAAATATTTATGCGAATTCTCGTTTTTGTAAATCAGGGAAACGATCATTCGATTAATCGTTGTGTTTACAACCGAATATGTAATTTTAAAGCTTCAATATTCGTGATATTTGGAATAAATCTTTATTTTGAAACTGTAAATTGTTGCAATATTGTCAGACGAATCGATAATCAAGACGAATCGTCTGTAAAAATAAAAATTGTTATTGTTTCATGGGTAGAATCGTGTAATCGATGACGTTAAGCAAATCTCAATACCGTGACTATATAATAGTTTACCTAATAGTTTACTTAATAGTTTACCTAATAGTTTACCTAATAGTTCACTTAATAGTTCATCTAATAGCCTACCTAATAGTTCCCTAAAAGTCTAAACGTGGCTCGGTCTGGCGCGGAATCTCGATTACGAAAATTATTATGCGGACGGTGTATTTGTTTAGGTCGAATTAGCTGTACATCGCCGGTGGTTAAAGTTAATTACAACTAGCCCGGTATTATATCCAGTAATATCAGTACATAACGTAACGGCATAACTCCGAAATTAACTGCGAAAATTACTCGCAAGAGAGCAACTAATAAGTAACACACCTGAGGGCGATGATTCAAGGTAGCCCGGGTGTGCTGATTTATTAATCCTACGAGCGCATTCTGAATTCATTTAGACCGGTGATGAGCAACCTTTCACCCGCCGTGGGCCACAATTGATCGATCGCCAATTGTTTCTGAACGGGAGTAGGCCATGGGTTGTTCGTCGCTGATTTAGTCGATCTCGCGTAATCACTGAGGAGAATTCCATGTATGCTTGACGCCGAATCGCTTGAAATTACAATATTGATGACGATCCGTAGAACAAAAGGGCAAATTCGACCATTTCGCTTGTCAGAAAATTACAACAAAGACTTCATCCATCTCCTCTCAGGTTAGTTAGTTTGAACCGGAACGCTGGCGACGATGTCATTGGAAATTGCAATTGGAATTTATTGACATCGTACAATCCCATTAGTGGGATCTCCCCTCCTCTATTCTGCAGCTCATTTTAGACCGCCACTGGAGCGATCTCTTTGGGATCACTGGGACGTCGCGTTGTTAGCCATTCGATGCTGAAGTAAACACATTAAGTTTTCTTTTAGTTTCGACTAGCTCGAAGGTTTACACGACCATTTGGGAACGAATGGTTAGAACTTGAGTTGACTATAAAGTTGCGACATTATAGTTGCAATGATTAGAAGTTTCTCGATTATAATAATTTCTAAGAAGAAAAAAGACAAATTTTGTTCATTGTGTGACTACACTTACTTAAATGTTTAAGTATTGATGACAAGAAATCAGAATTTTATTTAGACTAAAAAGAACGGTATAATATTCGTAATTAACAGGTTCTTA